TATAAATAAAAACAAACGTACTAAATTGCGTTAAAAAGATTTAGATCTTAATTGAGTTTGCCGAAGCTTTTGTTTTGGCTTACTTACGACGCGTTTGCAAACATCCGTTTTTTAATGATCGGCTAATGCTTTCGTTCTAAAAGCCTTTAGCTTCGGATGCTTTAAAGCTCGGTCGCACTTTTTATAGCATACTATAAGCTCTTTTATTAATTTCTCAGCTGCTTAAACGAATCCAGTCTATACAAAAGAAGTTTTCTTTTTATTTTAATCGATTCGCGAAAGATTTTAATTAGCTTCTTGTTATTAAAAATACTATAAAGTCTATGATTACCAAGTATTAAAAGTCTTAATCTCTTTGACGTTCTAAATATAATACTGATTAAAACATCTAATAGTTGCTGATAGTATTAGGCTAAAGAAACTAGTTGTAAAGCTTTCGAACTCTTGACTTTGAAATAGATCGGTATCTTCGTAAGTAGTTGAAGTAATTTAAGATGAAAACGAATTAGTAGCTTAAGAAGACATGTTTAAATTCTAACGAATTTGCTATTAAACTGTTGATTTGAACTTATATATCAACGTCTTATATATTTGAATATTATATAATATTATTTTATAATTTAAATATATTTTATTAAGTTAATTTATTTTTAAAAAAGGTTTTGCTTACGCTTAATTCTTTTTAAGCAGCATTCTTGCGAGCGTTAAGTTTTAACTAGCGGTTTTTTTTTTATCTTTTCATTTCTTTTTATTTCCTTTTTATTAAAGCTTAATTATAATTATATCTTTTAACACTTTTAAGCTCTTTTTACTTAAGTTGACTATTACGAACAACCTTTTTATATATAGACCTTAATATCGGTATATTTATATCGACTTTAGCTAGCTAGTAATATTTAAAGAAGTTCACGGGCCACTTAATATGCCTCGCTCAACATATCACACTAATCAAAAGACCCTTAACTTAACTAGTAAACTTATTAGTTAGCTAATGCGCGTGATTCTTTCTAATCATATAAAAGGAATCAGCTCTTTTGAATTTTAAAAAGCAATTAGAATTCAAATACTTTTACAACCGAGTGTTTTGCAATTGCAAGTACTTTAACGACCGTTACGAAGTTACGAATATATTCTTTAATCGCTTAAAAGGAATCCAACACTTAGTTTTTTTCAACTTTTACTTTCGATAATTATTAATTTCAAATTCAAATAATGATTTTATAATCTTCTTAAGCTTTATATAATCCTTTCGCTTTTTTATAAATTCTTTAAATAATCGCTTAAGGTCGTTATAACAAGTACTTACTTAAATTTATTAAGGTTTAATTAATATACAAAGATAAGGTACTCATAGAAATCTTAATTTAAATATAATCTTTGCAGCTTTTTTTTCGGCTGCTGCTATGCGGTAAATAAAATTAATATAATCTGATAAATATTAAAAATAAAAGCATTTAATTAAAAATTTATTATATAAAACGATAGAACACTTTATAATCGTATTAGCTTATAATTATATCTATAAGCTCGAATATCTATTATAGCTAAAGAATAAATAAAAGAAATTCATATTTTAACGGACGCTTGCCGATTTATTTGTAAGTGCCGTTTTATTATCTATATATTAATCAAGTTATTAATTTATTAAAGATTGCAAACCAATCAAACTCGATCCTTACTAAAGTAGATAATAAAACTTATTATTCTCTTTTTATTAGACGAACGAACGGTCGAAACGCTCGGTGTGCAATAGAAATGCTAGACGAAGAAGAGCGTAATCGTAGCTAGTTAGTTAGAATAAACGAATATCGAGTTAAGCGGTTTTTAAATAACGGCTATAAAATTAAGCTATCTATTAAATAGATCAATAAAAACGAACATAACGACGGATATCATAGAATTAGTATTGTTAACGAGCAAAAGACTTTTTATATACAAAAGAAAAGTATCGTAAGAAAGGAAAGTAATAAATTCGATAGCTTGCGAAGGCCTCTTGAATTTCATTATTATAAATTAATAGATGAGTTTATATAAATAGTTTTAAAATCGTTATTATATTAAATAAAATATATATATAATTAACTTTAAATATAATTTATAAATCTAAATATTAAAATAATTTATTAATATATTTATATCGATTTTAAATACAGCAAGTCGGTTAATTTTTTTGATTCAAAACTTTAAAATGTAACGACTTTAAGCGATTACTTAAAAGAACTTACGAAAGCGCGAAAGTTTATATAAAAGCTTAAGAGAATCTCAAAGTAATGATTTAAAAT